TATTTGCGATGGTTTTGGAAACAGCGAAAAAAATGGCATTTTGATGGTTTTGGAACCAGCGAATTCGGCGACCATGGTATTTGCGATGGTTTGGATATTAGGATAGGGTTTCGGAAGGACCAAGATCATGCAGGATTTTTAAAATTTAGCATTTGGATAGAATTTTCGGATTGATCAAATATATATCTGAATATTGCTACCCCGCACGGACCGGGGGGAGCGGGGAGGCACGGGAGTACACAATCTGGCAGTTTTTGGGGCTGAAATTGGGCCTCTCGTCGCGCGCGGACTCGCCGGAGCGCCGTCGCCGCCAGCCGCCGTCGCCCGTGTCAGTGGCTTCGCAGTCGCCGCCCCCTCCCTCCCCTGGCAGCACCACGCCAAGGGCGCCTGGAGCGGAGGACGAGGCGTGTTGTGTGTGCTTGGACGTGCTGGTGCACGCGTCGGGACGTCAAGCGCCGCAGCCGTGGTTGCCTCGGCACGACGTGGCGTTGCGCGACGCGTGTGACCGCCAAGGTGTGCGGATGCCCTCGCGCCTGTCTGGGGAGGAAAAGGTGCAGGAGGCCGTCCAGGATTACGCTCTCCGCACGTTCACATCCCACGATGCTCCGGAGCCGCGGCCGCCGCCGGGTGTCACCGTGTTGTGTTGTAACAGGGTCGCGGCGGTGGGGCGTGCCGGAAGTGTTGACTTCGTCCGCTTGCCACATCGCGAAATGCAATGGGCGCCTTTGCCGGTGCGGCACGATGCTGGCATAGCCGGCTGGCTGCCAGCATGGGTGTGCCCTGCCTGTGCTCGGGACGTGCGCCTTCCTGATGTTCCCGTGCCCGCGCAGGCCGGCGAGTTGTGCGGTGGCTGTGGAAATCAGCTGCGTTGGGAGTACGACATGGCCACTGCGCGGGGGCGCTTCCACTGCAGCTCCGGGTGTGCCAGACCCGCCCCCGCATGTGGTCCCACCAGGCAGCCTGCGGCGCCCCCTTTGGGTCCCGCGGCCCCGCACCCAGCGGTTGGCTACTGGCTGTCACGCGGGCCCCCTGCAGGCGAGATGCGGGAGAGGACTAACTCTTAAAAAAAAAAAAAAACTCTTGGCTGTACGTGCCGCTGTTGCAGGCTGCAGCAGGGACCTGTTATTGCTTGTGGTGGAGGCCTGGCGGGCAGACCCGCGGACCAGCGGTTGGTGGGAAGAAACCCGGCGGCTGTTGGTCGTGTCCGACCCTGTTTCCCCACGGTTGCTGGCAGCGGCTATCCTTCGCGCTGCTCAGGTTGCGCCTGCACATGGCCATCACATGCCCGACATTCTGGCCCGCTTGGAGCAAGCGGGGCTACCTGCCACCGCCTTGGTACACGTGGGCTGGGCAGTGCGCCAGTTGCGTGAGCCCGATGGCTACCTGCTTGCTCCTGTGCAGGAGGCCCTTCTAAAGTGTTACGGTGGCCTCCGCGTGGCATCCGCGCTCGATCGCCACTCAGATCGCTTCCGCCCAGCACCGCTGGCTGCACCAGCAGTCGAGTGCACGGAGGCTGTCCCTGCGCCAGGCCCGGCGCCCGTAGCTGTCGAAGCGGTCACTGCCGAGCAGCCGGATGCCAGTGAAGACGAGGAAAGGGTTCCCCCCACTCCTCGAGCGGGACGTGCGTTTTACAGGCTCTTTGCCTCGCGCGGCGCGGGAGTGGTTGGACGGCATCCGCCTGGACGAGGAGTTTCGCTGCCGTGTTCCCACAATGCGGTCTGTGCCTGCCTTTCTTGCACCGGGGATACGGCGCGCATTCGTTGCAGCCTTGACCGAAGTGCAGGCGGCGCACGGGCAAGCGGGGGAGCAACGCGTGCTGAGGGCATGGAAGTTGTTCTTCCTGCTGCCGCGCCTCCTGCTTACGCCCAGTCAGCAAACCGGCCCGCAAGGGCGATCCTGTCTGCTGAGGCGTCTTGAGCTATTCCGGCTCGGGGAATGGCGAGAACTGCATCGCCAGTCTCGCCTCGTGCAGGTGCCGCCGCCACCTGTCGAAGGACCCAACGATACAGCTCACGAGGACAGCCGCGCCTCCAAGGCATGCGCGCTCGTCCGGCGAGGCGAGCTGTCACGCGCGCGTCAGGTCCTAACAGCAGCCCAACTCGCCCCCGGTACCGAGGAAACGTACCAGGCACTCGCGGACCCTGCCCGACGCCCGCCGGAGCGCATGCGCGACATCCCGCCTGAGGTCCTTGCCCATCGTCCGGAAGAGGAGCTTGCGCTGACTGTCAAGCAAGTCGCGGATGCCTTGCGCTCCTCTAAGCGTGGATCGGCGGCCGTGTTGTCGGGCGCTACGGTCGAGATGTACAAGCTGTTGCTGGACGAAGCCGCTGCGCTCGACTTGTTCACATTCGCGGTGAACTGCATCGCCCGCGCAGATGCGCCAGCGGAGGTCCTAGACGCGCTGGCGCTCAGCCGCCTTACGGCGCTGCGCAAACCGCAGGGAGGTGTGCGCGGCATCGCCACGGGCGACGTTTTCAGGCGGCTCGTGTCACGGGTGCTGGCCCGGTTGTACGCGGATGCCTTCGAAACGGCAACACGCCCCTTCCAGTTTGCGCTGCAGACGCGTGCAGGGGCGACAGCTTGGCGGCTATGCTGCGCACAGCTGTGAGCTCGATCCGCAGGCGACCGTCGTCTCCTTGGACGGGCGAAGCGCGTATGACTGCATCAGCCGCGCCGCGGTGCTCACCAAGTTGCGCGAAGTGGCGCCGGCCCTGCTCCCCTTCGCACGGGCAATGTATGCACGACGCTCTGAGCTTCTATGGTGGGACGCCAACGGCGAGGCACGCCAACTGTTCCAATCGGAGGGCGTCGAGCAAGGTGACCCGCTGGCCCCTGCGTTCTACGCACTGGGCCAACACAATGCGTTTCTCGCGGCCAACGCAGCTTTACAGCCTGGCGACTCCCTGTTCACCTTCCTCGACGACCTGTACCTGGTCACGACGCCAGAGCGAGCGCGCAGCGGCGGCGACACTGTTGCGGGCGCCGTCGAGCGTGAGGCAGGAGTTGCCGCCAACGTCGGCAAGACCCGGGTCTATCATGCCGCTGGCGGCCCCGCACCTCCCGGCGTCGATGAGCTTGGAGAGGAAGTGTGGCGTGGCAACAAGCCGCCGCCGGAGCGCGGCTTCCTGGCGCTTGGAATCCCCATTGGGCACGACGAGTACGTCAGGACGCAGGCGCGGGAACGACTGCGTGAGGCTCGGGAGTTCCTGCAGGCCGTGCCGCGTCTGCCCGACTTGCAGTGCGCGTGGTTGCTCCTGCTGTTCTGCGCGTCGCCGCGGGCGCAGTACCTCTTGGGAAACGTCCCGCCCGAGCTCGCTGCGGACTACGCGCGCTCACACGATGATGAGGTCTGGCGCACCCTCCTCGAGCTTTTGGGCGGCCTGGACCCTGAGGACGCCGCCAGTCACCAGCATGCCCGGGACATCGCGTTCTTGCCGGCGCGCTTGGGAGGCCTGGGCCCTTACCGCCCAGGGCTGGTCGGACAGGCCAGCCTGGCGAGCGTGTGTCGACAAAGCGCGGCCGCCGCCCGAGCCCGCAAATGAGCCGGGTCTTGGGGGATCGGGCTGGCAACGTAGTGCAGTTCTCGCACTTCACACCTCCTTTCGAGAACACACGATGTTGCCGGCTTTGACCCCTGACGCCCGCGCCATGTTGCGGTCCCAGTCAGGCCCACATGCGGGGTCTTGGCTTAGTGCTATCCCCGCGCACCCAGCTGCCGAGCTCACGCCGGACCTGATGCACCTCGCCCTGCGGCGCCGCCTCCGACTCCCCTTGCCGATTGCCCGAGCCCGCTGCGGAGGGGATGGCTTGCCAGGCTGCCGTGGGCGAGTTGATGTGTTGGGGGACCACTTCGCGGCTTGTCCGCGCACCGGTCTCTTGGCACGACGAGGCTTCGTGCTCGAGCAGGCGTGGGTGCAGGTCGCGCGCGAGGCGGTCGGCCCGGAAGGGCGAGTGGTACCGCAGCAGTGGGTCGCCGATACGACCGCTGTAGGTGTGCGGCCGGATGACCGACGGCGCCTTGATCTCGTCATCTATGGCGCAACCCAGCGTGGCGAAACCCTCTGCTGTGACGCGACGCTCGTGTCCCCGCTCGGGCGGGATGGCGGACCCACCCGAGGCGCCGCTGACCGCGACGGTGCCGCACTAGAGGCCGCTGCACGACGCAAACATGCGCGCGACCCTGATCTTTCCCTCGGGGGGCCACAGCGCCTGTGCGTGTTGGCTGCCGAAGTCGGAGGGCGCGAACGACGAGTCCCAACGTGTGCTCAAGCAGCTCATCCGACTACGCGCGCGCCGAGCACCGGCCGTCCTTCGAGCGGCTGTCGGCCATGGCTGGGCGCGCCGGTGGTGGAGTGCGTTGTCTGTTGCCGTGCAGCGCGCCCTGTGCAGCGCCGCGCTCGGCGAGCGGACGATGCCCCCCCTCCCAGGGCAGGTTGACGCACAGCCTCTGGCGACGGTGCTCGACCTCGCTGAGCACCCGGCGCCCAGTCGGCTCCCTCTACGGTGAGCCGGTGAGCCTTCCGTAGGTCGTCGGGCTTCCGGCCAGTAGGCGTTTGGGACGGCGGATTCGGCGGAAAAAGGTGCGCGAAAAAAAAATTGGGCCTGGGAATTTCGGAGGCGCATGGTGCTCTTGCCCGAGCGAAGGCCCGTCCCCGCTTTTCCAAGCTATTCTGCTTGATCTGGACAAATGGGGGTTTCGGGTACCTTATTGGGGTCCCCATTAAGGGGATTCCACGATTTGGATCTTTTTTCGGGCATTTTCACAAACACCCAAATCGTTAGGGCTTTCCTACTGCCAGGACGGCTTCCATACACGCTCCTCAGACCGATCGGCCTTTCCTGCCTCATCCTGGTGGTCTTGCCCGCAGGGTTTGTTTAGCACACCGTTTGCGAGTTTCGCGAAAGTCACGGCTTCGGCGACGTTCCGGACACCATGTTCCCATTTCCCACAGCCACTGTTTCCTTTCATGTCTGGTTGAACGGACCGTTTGTGTACCGAGGTCATTCCGAATGGTGATTACGACCAATTTGTGGAACGAGTTGTGGATTCCAGCCGATATTGGGTACTGAAAATTGCTGCTGGCTCAGAGCTCATGTATCTCCACCTCATGCCATGGTCTCTTCCGTTGCATGGCTTTTGAGGTCAACGGACCACGCCATGCTTTCATTGGCTTTGGTTTCAGTGACAGCTTCCCGATTGCACCCAAACATGCTGCTTTGAATCCTCTGCATGAATGGAACCTTGATGCGCAATACCTGGCCCCAAGGAAGCGATGCCTTCGACTTCAATGCGTGCTTAGCAGATTTCAAGGCTCGGGTGCGCAATGTGGACATGCAATTCTGGGGCACATGGTGCTGCCGCCACAGGCAACCTGGGTGGACAAAGCAAAAGAAGCAGCAGCACTGGAGATGCTGCCCATGAACCTTGGATTGATGCCTTGAGCCCCATTGTGTGTGTGTGTGTGTGTGTGTTATGGTGGCATATGTGCCCTGGCAAATCCGTTGGCAGGAAAGATCTTTCTTTAAAAGACGGGCAAACTTTTACAGCGACTTGCCACTGACAAGAATTGGAAATCTTCATTGTAATGTGCATGACGACCTGACGAGGTGAATTTGCCTGGGAGAAATGGCAGGCCTCCGAGAAATTGCGAATTGGATGGGCAATTGGGGACGTGGGCATGGGGACGGAAACCCCCACATGCAGAACCCAGAGGGCGGACCAACACTGGCACGGGCCAGGCGAAGAGAACAGACCGAGCAATCCGGTGGTGCAGCTGATGGTTACGGTAGGCTTGCAGGCCTCCCAGTGCTCGTGCGCAAGTTAGAGAGATATTGCATGGCCGGATGCACCATGGTATAAGGCTCCACCTCCACCGGCTGCAACTACGCAGTCGAGTGGCACTTCTGCTGCCGAAAACGCTACTTGGTTATATTGGTACTCATAATTCCGAAGTATCATGTTCGCAAGCTGCCAGAGGTCTGCAATGCAACGAAACAGGTGGACGAGTTTGATGACTTCGCAGATTTCCAGTCTGCGGCAGCAACGAATGTGCCGTGACGGTGCATCGAAAAAAATTGTGTCCATGGACTCGAGCTGAGTTGGTCTGAATCGTGTAGAACATCACATGTGAAGCCAAGTTGAAAGTCAGCCGTTGTGGGATGTGTGCGTGCGGATTTTTCATCCAGCAAATAGCCCCGTGTCGGCAGACATGTGCACAGACAAGCTCCTGACCACAGCCCCACACACACAGAACCCATGTTCAAGTTGCAAGTACTTCGCTTGCTCAGCTTCCGTTTGTGGTGGCTGTGTGGTTTCGAGATCGAGGATTTGTTTTGTCCGTGCCTCAGTTTTGGCGGCGGTATTTCGAGACATCTCAGCATGTGCCTTACAGAGCCATTTTTGTCGTTCTGAATGTTTCTTGTTTGCAATCATGGAAATCAGTGCCATGGGCCGATGCTTCAAGATTCATGAGCGTATAGATGCTGACACCAGTGGCCGCGTTGAAAGGCGTGATTGCGTGATGGCCGCTCCTTCGGCAGAGGCTGGCGGATGGAACCCGGAACCTTGCGCGTGTAGTTGGCAGTCGTTTCGACTTCTTGCAATCAGCTTGGTGGCAACAAGAGCATCTGAACTAGCCGGCTCGGTACCTGGGCCTTGCGAGCTTGCAGTGTGGCTGCATAGGTCCCCAGATGCTTCCGTGTTCTGCTCGCTAGGGTTGTTTCAAGTCGAGTCGAAGCAAACACCCCTGGGGGCGTGGCAGTGTTGGGTTTGTTGCAGTGTGACGGGTTGGCAGCTGCCACCTGTGTTTGTTGAAACCTCTGAAGTAGTCCCCGCAGTGTGCGCTCGTGCTGGGGGCGCGCGCGGCAAAAACAACTTCTTCGAAAGAAACCCCCCAAAAAACTCCGCAAACCCTGATGGCAATGGGGGCTGAGTCTTTGCAGGCAGCACCAGAGACTTCGCAAGATGTTGCGTGCTGAGCTTCATGGTCAGTGGTCCTTTCGCCGTTCCATCTGTTGATGCGCCCGTTCCCTTCTCAGGCAGGAGAGACAAAAGAAACAGGTCCAGATGAAGTGGAGGAATTTGCGTGTCTTGCTCAGTGGCAGTGTCTTTGTTCGCCTTGTTTTGGGTTTCAGGAGGTGTCTGACACGTCGGCACCTTACCAACTGGAATGTGCTGAGCTGGCGTTTTTTTTTGCAACCGCCCTCATGAGTGAGTAGGCGTTGGCCAAAGAGACTCGACGAACCCTTGTGTCCTTTTGCAGCAACATCCCCCTAAACCCTAAATCCTAAACCCTAAACCCTAAACCCACCCTGAACTCTAAACCCTAAACCCTAAACCCTAAACCCTATCTTCTAAGGATGGCACCCGCGGCACCCGCGGCACCCGCGGCACCAATTGCCACACCAGGGTGCGCTGCCAAGCCGAAGATTCGTGCTCTCGCATGTTGGCTATCTCCGGCACGCAGCCGGCAGAAAGGACAGCTTGTAGCCTCGAGCTCAAGGAATGGAGCTTCAGAATCTAGAAAAGCCCCCAAAAGAAGTACTTGTAACAATATGGAAAATCAGACTCTCTGAATACATCTCTAGACCAATTATGAAAACTATATATAATAGGAAAAAATTAATCCAAATAGAAGATGATAGAAGAAAAGAAGATCATTCCATAAGAACCGATTTCCAGTCCGACAACAAATATTAATTCCTGCAAAGAAACATGTGCAGGAGGGAAAACCTTCAGACATTGTCGCTCGGCAAGGAATCCGGTCCATGCGCTTCGCCCCGATGTATAGCTGACCTTGGCCCGCAGCATTCAGGCATACATGCACATGGCATACCAGCCACGCCACACAGTACAGTCACGTTATTGGGTTAGAGCCGGCGCTGCTTCTTCCAGCTGCCATGCCGCGCGAGCGAGAGCTCGAAGGATCCGCGCGGGATGTGGACGAAGTGGAGAGCCTCGTGGACAAACTCCGCAGTGGCCAGTTCTCAGATGCCATTGCGGCTGCTGAGAGGGCGACCGATGCGCAGGAACAGATGTGCCTTCGGCTCGATGGCACTGTGAAGAAGGCTGATCCCTTGTCAGCGTTTGTGGCTCATGATCCTGTCCAGCCAGAATCAGGAAGTCCTGACCCCGATGATGAGCTGAAGAAGTTGCGGGAAGCAAGGAAAGCCCAGCTGCAGAAGGAAAGCCTGTGGAAGAAGCAGGGCCATGGCTCTCTGCAAGAGCTTGCGGATGAGAAAGAGTTCGTGGAGACGATCGCGCCGCACGAGCGCGCCCTTCTGCTGCTGGACGATGGTCGTTCGGCTGCGGGCGAGGAGTGCCGGAAAGTCTTGGGTCGCTTGGCCGGCAAACACCTGGAAACTCAGTTCTGTTGGCTTCCGGCCGACCGTGCCTTCTTCCTCACACAGATGGTAGATCTCGAGGCGCTTCCAACCATCTTTGCGCTGAGCTTCGGTGAGGTGGTCAGGCACTTGCCACCATCCCGACTCTTTGCATATTCATCCGCCAGCTCGCCTCTCTTCCCCAGACACCTCGCGAAACTATTGTGCAGCATCAACTCTATCGACGATGCCGATGACGACAGTTTGTCCGGCGATGATGCTTCGGGAGACGGTTTCTGAGGCAATGTGATGGGGCCAAGTTTTGACTTCCTGGGTGGCTGCGCGCGCGCTGAAAGAGTCATCTGACCGGTTCGCACGTGTATCTGTGCGCCTGACGCTGCAGCGCGGTTTGGGTGTGCTGTGCTGCTAACGTTGCTTGTCGTTGCTTCTTAGGCCCAGCGCAGAAAAGCTCAAAGCAATTGAGGCCCCGTGAGTTTTGCGAGAGGGGCTGCAGCTGTAGACTGGGCGACGGAACGTTCGTGCAGGAGCTCAAAGCGGCCATTCGTGCTGCGGCCGCCAAGCCCAAGCCGAAGCGCCAAGAGACGGAGGAGGGTCTCTCTCCAACGTTTCGCGAGTCTCTCGCCAACATTTTTTCGTGAGAAGATGCTCTCACATCCTGTCAGGAGCTTCTTCTGTTTTGTCAGTGCGTGAAGAGCTTGGTGCCGGACTTGGTTATCTGATCTGGAGCCGTGATTCCCTGCATGTGCGATGGGGCTGTGGCACACGTCGCCGCCCGAGGCTAGCAGCAATGATGTTTTCTCGCAGATCAAAGGCATTTTGCCAAGGATGCCGCCCAAGTGGGTTTTGCATGTGCAGTGCGAAGCCATTCTGGGAACTTGTTCCAGGGATAAACCTTGGGGGTTTATGCAAAGGGGAACCCCCCCAATATAGATCCCCAAATAGTAGACTCCCTTCAAACCCCAAGAAGGTATCCCGAATTTCGGAACCCCCCACTTGGACCAGGATTGGCGAGAACCATCTGGGTCCCTTGATGGGAATCAAGCGACCTGCGCCTCGACCGGTGGTGGAGAAGCCCAGCGCACCAGTGCCAACGCGAGAGCCCTACATTGCTTCCCGAAGATCCAGTGACTCATTGTCTTCCTGTTGGTTAGTAGGGCTATACCCCCCTATACATACCCTTTGAGGGATTATAGGGTACCTCCTTCCCTCATTCCCTACAATAAACAAAGGAAGTTGTATCCTGAGCTCAGGGCCTCGGCCAATCGCGTAGTCGGCAGGGTGAAGAGCTACAACACACGGAAAGGTGGGGGTTGCTGGGTAGTTTGTGCCGTTGATGTCCGGCAGCATCCGGTAGCGTTGCATGGGAATCATCGTAGCTGACAGGTTTTGGCTTCATCACTGTGCCAGACTTCGGGCGTGACATCTTTGTCTACAACTCGCATCTCATTGGTCGCATTGGTCAGGGCCCCAGCGTGGCTGCAAGAAAAAATGATCGCAGCCTTTGGCCCTTGCAGGACTGCTTGCAGGGGAGAGCGTGTCCTTTGACCTAGTGGTTGAGGGTGGCCGGCCGCAGGCACGGAACGTCTGGAACCCTGGCTGCCCCATGTACCTGTCCATGCCCAGTGACGCTGAGACACGCTGAGGTGAAGGTGCTGGGAGACGCTCCCGCATCAACCTCAAGCCTGCGTAGAAGCCTGCGTAGAAGCCTGCGTAGAAGCCTGCGTAGCCGTTGGGAGTTTGCGCCTTGCCACCGGCTTGCGCTGGCAAGGTGCCCGACAGCAACCTGGACTCGTTGGCGGAAGTGAAGAAGGCAAGTCAGCGCAAGAATGCGTTTGGTGCGAAAACAATTGCAACCAACACATCATGTGCCCAAAAGCGAAAGTCCTTCAAAGCGAGGCAGTTGTCCAACATGAAGCAACAAAAATGCGCATTCGACTTGTAGGGAAGGTGCTTCAGGATACATCCCACAAACGTCTTCAATCTTGAAAAGGAGTGAGGCCTACCTTTGCCGACTTGTGTTTTCTGCTGCAGGCGCTAGCAGAAGGGCCAAGTGGGTCAAGACCAGGAGAGCGCGGAAGCCGCTTGGCTGAGCTGGGAAACCGGGCGACAGGAGCTAAGACGGTGCAGAAATACTGGTTCATAATACTTCAGAATGCTAGGCTCATAGTCATTCGTCATGCTCAGCTCGGTGGCTGCTTTTCTGTTCTACCGTTGGGCTCACTTCACCTTACCGCGCACGTCTCCACCAGAATCCACACGTGGCGTGGAGTCCAACGGACAAGAAACTTCAAACAGCCCGTGGGGTGCAGGTCAGCCCTCCGTTCGCGAGATGACGCTGGCCATGGCAGCAGCAGCAGCTGAGGTCCAACCCTAAACCCTAAACCCTAAACCCTAAACCCCCCAAACCCTAAACCCTAAACCCCAAACCCTAAACCCTAAACCCTAACCCTAAACCCGAAACCAAAGAATTGCGCGACCTTGGGTGTAAGTCGACGGGCTGGAGTGCATGGGTGAGCGGGTTTTGGGTTTTTGCTGGGCTGTTGTTTGCTTTGGATCAGTGGCTCTTCTTCTGGCTTCGAAAGGCGGTTTGTCGGTGTTGCCGATTTTTTGCATGCAGGGTGGTGTTGCAAGCTTGAAAGGCTTGCATATGGGGGTGAAGTCCGTCACCATGTTATGGTAAAGCACGTCTGATTGGGATCGGGTGGGGGCGTCCGTGCTCTCTTTCCAAAGGCTCTTGGGGGGCGGGGGGTTCGACGATATGGATACCTCATTGGGGGCTTTACGACAACGTGGGTACCTTATTAGGGTCCTCATTATATCAGGGAATCCTATTATTTCTCGGGGCCCATATTGGAATATTCCGGGCCCTGTGATTTTCGTAAACACCTTCTTGGTTGGACCGCCGGAATGAGACTTTGGAGAGCCATAAAGTTTATCATGGTAGCCTACCGTGCTTTTGATACCAAGCCCCTTCATGGCAACACACTTTCTAGTCTCATGGCCCATCCGACCCATGAGACTTCTTCTAGTCTTCGGAGGTTCCCACGACTCTGCCTGAGAAGAAGCCCCAGCAGGCAAGTGAGAAGAGTAGACTTGCGGCATCTTCGAAAGCAGAGGGCAGACGAGTGGTTGTTGCCACTGACAGGAGGCGAGGAGCGCAGAAGAGATTCTTAAGGATCAGATTCGCAAGGCCCCGGAAGAGGAAGCCTTTGAAGAGGGAGCTGTTGTCAGGTGGTCGTGCTTTGACTCGTTCAAGCCTGCCATAGGCCCAGACGGAAGCCACAACGCGCAAGACGGCGCCCATCGTGAAGCGGGGGGGCTCGGCGTTTTGCCAGCCGTGGGAATTGCCAGGAGCTGCCTTAGCCAAAGCAAGCTGTATTGACGGGAACGGTTGAAACCATTAAGTTGTGTATCGCTCGTGGTCTATGTTTCCCGGATAGCAGGAGTCAGGTTCTGCAAGCGAGCATGTGAAAATATGACCATTTCTCCAAAATATGGTCCCTTTAGGGGTCCTTATTACAAAACGGCCTCTATGACTTAGGGTACCCCAGAAAGGGGCCCTAATTTAGAGAACTGACCATACGAGGCAAAGGGTTTGAATGTTGCGAGTCGTCGTGCACAATTGCCGGATATGAGCGGCGTGACTTGCTTGTGACAAACAAGAGTCGAGTCTGCAGCTCTGCAGAGCACCATGTGATGAGGCAGCCACCGACGGTCAGCTTCGGGGGCCAGTGGTCACCTTAAACTGAGAAGAGAGATCTGGCGAGGTCTACCTTGTTTTATCACCAGGTTGCAGTGTAGCAGACCGGGTTTAGGGTTTAGGGTTTCGGGTATTGCGAGGCAAGAGGCCCGGCCACTGCGTGGGCCTTGCTCGTGCCAGAGGGGATCATGTCCAAACACGGCAACAAAGCGTGGGAGCCATGTGCGCGCGTTTGCCGTCCCAGGGCCAATGATGGCAACCTCCCAAGAGGCACAGCTTTGAGTGCGAGGGCTGATTCAGAGTCGTAAGGTAGAATATATCGTACAATATAGCATAATATAGCATAACATATATAGTAGAATGTAGAATATTATGGAGTATGGTATAGTATAATGTAGTTTTGTATAGCATAATATAGTATAGTATAGTGGAGTATATAGTTTCGTCTAGTATAAGATCGTACAGCATAACATCATACAAGCCGCCTCGAAGTCCCAGAGCAGTCAGAGCCTGGCTCTCTCTAGGCAGCACCGTTCGTGTTGTGGGGTTCCCATCTCCCGATGTGGATGGCTGTCTGGCCCTCAGAGAAGAACAGCACTGCTTGTTGGCCTCGCATGCCTCAAACGAGATCCAACATGGTGCGACCTGCAGCTTTTCAGCTCCTGGCTCGAGTCATGTCAATGTGAGACCATGACGGCCGCTCCATGAAGGCAAAATGGAGACTCTCCCCCGGCTTACCCAAGCCAGATAGGCAATCCTTGCACTTGGGCAGGTGAAGGTTGTACGGAAGCGCAAGCCGAAGGAGGCGGAAGAGAGTGCCCCAAAGGAGGCAGTAACTTGACCGATGCCACGTGATGGGTTTCTAGTGACTGGTGGTGTCCTTCCATGTGGCTTGGGTTCAACACGGAAGGGTGCAGGCAAACGGGCCATGAAAGTTCTTCGGTCTCTTCGGTTGGTTTTAGGGTTCAGGCAATCTTTTGAAGTGACGCGTGCAACATAGCACTAAGCCTTCCAAACCTGGTCAGCCCTGGGGGAGGTCTTTGGGGAGCCCGATAATGGTCAAAACCGACTGCTGCTGTAACTGCTTTATTTTGCACCTGCATGGTGTGGAACCGTCTTGCGTGCCTCTGAGGCACCGAAGAACGGTAGTAGTGGACCGTTGCTCAGCCGGAGAGGCAGCAAGAAAGCGAAGGCCGGCGGCAGGGCATGGCCTACCTTGGAATATCTTGGATGGGATGGCCATTCCATCATCGGGCACTGTGCCCCAAACCCTAAACCCTAAACCCCAAACCCCCAAACCTTAAACCTGTTGAGAACGAGGGACTCTAGGCATCCACATTCTCCGGCTTTGAGAGTGGCTGGGCTCTAGAATTCTCCTCCGGTTGCGTGCAGGCTCCCTCTACGATTGCTGAGAGACAAGCTCGACCCATGGATTGAATACGGCAGAGCATTGAAAATGACGTCTGTTTTTTTCGGATGCCTTGTGTTTTCTTGACCAGGTTCCCGTAATGCAATCGTTGCTTGTTATGTCGACAGTGGCTTTTCAGCTTGGCCGCTGAGTTCTGCAAGTCTAACTCTGACGGCCATGCTCGGTTAAGGGACCCTGTGCCTGAGACCGTTGCAGATTCTGGCTTTGTAAGTCAGAGCCATGGACCTGGTGTGTGAACGTGTGAAGTGTTTTTGGGCTGTTCCCCCTTTGCACTAACAGTCCTTAATAGGGATTATAGCAAGGGGTACCATAATCCCTATTAAGGACTGTTAGATAAGGGGGAACAGCACAAGCCATCGCGTGCTGCTGCGGGGCGGCTTTCGTGGCCCTCTCGTCTTGGCGCGGCTACTGCGGCTTCTTGGCCAGGGCCTAACGGCCTACATCACGCGCTCGCCCACGTCGAAAACGTGGCAGGGAGGTTATTTCCTGGTTTGCGGCCTAGGAAAGCGTCGGCTGCCTGCGTCCTGCGCAGGCCTCCCCGCGAATCCTGCGAAGTGCAGAATTGTCGTTCGCTTTCGGGTCTTGGATCCTGCTCCCACCAGAACCATCGCCGCTTTGCGTCCAGAGTCCAGAGTGTGCTCCGGTCCCAATCCCGCGCACTCGAGTGTGCATTCTCTTTGCGAAGTACAGACCTGTCTTCGCTTGCGGGCTGGCTGCACACACAGAGCGTGACACTTGCAAATATATGCATGCATGTAGGTATACGTATCATACATATATATATATATATATATGTAATATCTTGCGCTGCTTGTTTGGGGTCTGCGCAGGAACATTATTCCGATGGCACCCGTTGAAAAGTCCTTGTTCTCAATCAACAGGTCTTATGAGTTGACCGCGCACACAGCATCGGAGCTCAGGAAACCGGCAGCTGACAGACCAGTTTCGCGACGAGCAGCTTCATGCATCTTTTGGAAGATGTAGGGACTACGACCCTGTGAAGCGGAAGAGTCTTGGATGATTGTGGAGGTTTCAAGACCGCAGTGCAGTCAGGATTCCGTCGTCAATTATTCTGGCATTTCTGGGTTGCACTATGCATTGAAGGCAGGGTCTTTCGCTTGTCCTGAAATCCAGAAATCCAAGGACGTCCCTCGTGCCGGAGGAGTTACTTGGCGGCGAGATTCCAAACAGTATCGCAAGACCACCTTGGTTTGCTCTTCTTATAGAAGTCTGGCTGCTTTCACCTCTCTCCAGTGGACTCTCCACATGTTGTGTCGATACGTTCACCGAGAATCTCGGACCACAGGGTGGTGCCGAACAGGTGGTTCTGAGCTCCCTAAACCCTAAACCGCAGGGAATAGATTTCCTCAGCATGAACAGCTGCCCTAATCTCGGAAGACCGCGCACAGAGGTTGAGGGAAGACGGCCGAGAAGTTGCTCCAACCAGGAAGAAGGATCTCGCCCTACATCTCGCATGATGCAAGATTTGTATGACCGTTTTGGGCGAGTGTATGTGTTGTTTTTTTTGCTTGTTTTTTTGGTGCACGCTGGTGTTTGAAAGGTGAGCAAGCTGGGAGACAACATCGAGTCACTTTCAAAGAAACCAGATGCCCAGCTTTCTGCTCTGCTCACGAAGGCTGGGAGAGAAACGTGTGTGCAGTGCGCAACCGGCTCATCTGGCCTCTGTGTTCTTTCTTCGGTGATACCGTATGGTCCGTATGGTCGTTTATGTCACGCTGTTTTTTACAAATAATCGTTCTTGCTGGAGCCCCTGCGTCCATACCCAGCCCAATCACAGCGACTGTTTTTGTCACACCCGCATCTTGTAGTTTGCTGCTTTCTGTCTGGGGTTGCCTGGCAGTTGCGACATCTGTCCTTCAAAAGTAGCGGTGTGCCCTAAAGTGTAAAGCCTGAAGCCAGCGGGAGCAAGCTAGAACTGCAGACGTCCCTTATGATAAGGACCCCAAGAAGGTACCCCCCATTTCCAGAAACCCCCAGCTTGCAGGGAGTGAAAGGCTCGTGCAGGCAAGAGAGTTGGCCCCGGAAGGCACTTCAGAACATGAGGAAGGGCAAGTAAAAGGCAGCGGTTTAGTGAGAGCTGGAGATGTCAGACCTGATCCCTGGTCATGAGATGTCATGAGTCCAAGCCCAGTAAGATAGTATTCTTCTTATTCTGTTGCCCCGAAATCAGGGCCCTGTAGCCCATAACTATTTATAGACCCATGTGGACGAGCACTTGGACGAACATCGGCAGAATGACCAAGGTCTGGTGTAAGCGGCGTTTCTGTTGCCTCTTGAGTTCCTAATTCAACCGAATGCCTGGCACCGAAAGAGACCCTTTGCAAAGAAGAAGAGGCGCGCGGAAAAGGCGAGCCACAGTTCTTGGCACTGATGCACGGCTTTTTCCGAGCATGTGCATGCAAGTCACAGCATCAGAATGAACAAGGCACTGGAATAGTCACCGGCTTCGACCCTCAAACCGTCCGATACTCCGCACGAAGCCTACGGACCAGCGGCTATAGTAGCTGGTCCACTGTCATGCCAGCAGAACTCAGGTGGATGTTGAGACGCATCGGGCTCAATCTTGAATCTACCTGACCAGAGCCTGAACTCCTCTCCCTGACTTACCCAGCTTGTCGAAAGACCTCTTGGTGTCTTCGTCAGGCGTGGTGGTGACATCCAACCCATGTCGATATGCCCTCAGCGCAACTGCTCGCCGCCTGTACCGCCACGATTTTGGTTCCGCACTGCGCTTGGCATTCCGCAACAGGCTCCGGGAGGAGTATTTGCAGCTGAACGACAAGGTCACGCCCGGCGTTTCCTTGCGCCCTTTCGCCGTTTTCTTGTCTTGCGCAAGAGTGCACGAAAGCGGCAGCGAACAGAGCACGCCAGGCTGGCGCAGACACTGCCAAGGCCCTCCGGAACTTAGTCCCAGTGGTGCTCGTAGGCGTGCGAAGCAGACCTGCAGGCTCCACCGCCCCCACAGCTACCAGGCTTCGTGGGTCTCTTCGTGTGTCTTCGGTGTGCAGAGTTATTCTTGAGTGGACTGTGGGGGTGGTGAGAGATGACGTGATGCCTGCTTTCGTTTGCTGTGGGTTGTTGTGATGGCATGTTTCAGTCTTCTCCTAAACCCTAAACCCTAAATCCTAAACCCTGAGTCTTGAGGTGGCAGCAGCCACGGCCTGCAGAAGTCAGCTGCCGATGCGCTGAGGCCTTGAGAGCTGCAGAGTAAGACTCATAGTAGAAGCCAAAAAGTTGGAAACTCAATAGCCTCAATCCCTAAGAGTAAAGTATAGGGAATCCCAGCACTATTTGTCCAAATGGTTCCAACTTTTTGGGGCTTACTGTAGGGCTGCAGGGGGGGGGGGGGGGGGGGCTCTGCTTCTGCAGCTCCTGGGGCACACGGATAGGGTTCAGGGTTTAGGGTTTAGGGTTTAGGGTTTAGGGTTTCGGGTTTAGGGTTTAGGGTTTAGGGTTTAGGGTTTAGGGTTTAGGGTTTGGGGTTTGCAAAGGGTGTAATCCTTATCCTTCTAGCCCCTCACGTGCGAAGCTCCAGGAAGTTTGGACACTTGGCGCCTCAGCGGGGGTCTTACGGAGAACCCGCTTTGGCGAAGCCAGGGCTGGGACTGTCGTAGCTGAGGCCTCCGGCGAACAACTGGTTGGGAGCTAAGAGAATTCCTGTCGCTTCGTGGTTTCGTGGTGTTCATGACCCATGTCATTCTTGCCCAGGCAGATGCCGCAAGGAGGCAAGAGATAAGAAATATAAGAAAGGCCTCGAGGCACATCACGAGGCAGCATGTGATGGCAAGCCAGGTGCGTGCCAAGGTGGGAGCAGGCCGGCAGATCTTGCAAGCCAGCATGCAAGTCAGACTCCTGGGGCGGAAATGCCAAGGCAGCAGCAACTCCAGGCGAGAGCATCTCGGGGAGCTCCTGTTTCGGGGGCTCTTCTTCAGAATGTAGCTCTGCAAAGGCCATGCAGCAGGCCCAGATGGCTTCCAACGGCCTGACGCACAGTCAAAGACGGCTCCCATGTGCTGCGTGAGTGGACCTGACCCCGGAGCTGATGACAGGTGCCATGGGGAACATGCCAGGTGCTGGTGGACAGATGAGGCCTCGTTGCAGCTGAATTGCACTCTGCCCAAGTGAGCCAGCCGCGCCAAGTGAGTCTTTTGTCGCGCCAAGTGCGCCATGTGTGGCTCTTTTGAAACGAGGTCTAGATCCACCAATGCCCTGACATGTCCAAGCAAAAGAAGCCGGCACATACCTGAAGCTCAATGCATGTGATCTGCAGAGGATGCCGTGCAGCAAACTAGCATGTAGACTGGATGCAGCAATGTCGGACGGCGACCCTCTGGACAGACGTGAGCTGGCAAGATTATGGCTGCCTGAAGTGGCTCGGCTATAAATCACGTCGGTCAGATGTTCCGATCTCAGCACTCCCGGTGCTCGCATGTTTAGCATGCTGCCGAGCTAAGATCCAACGTTTAAAAGAAGATCTGCGCACGGTCGGCGTTGAAGCGGATGAGCAGGCTGTGTTGCAGAGCTGTTGGCACCCTAAACCCTCAACCCTAAACCCTAAACCCCAAACCCCAAACCCCTAAACCTTAAACCCCAAAATCCTAAACCCTAAACCCGCGCGTCTGTAAGGACCTCCTGGCCTTCCTGCGTGCCACGAATTTCGATCAGCAGAAAGCACGGGCGCGGCTGACAGACACGATGGCTTGGCGAGACGCTACAAAAGTCAAGGACACTGCGCGTTCAGAAGCCAATAACCCTTTAAGCAACCACTCGGATCCTCCAAATCACACCACGGCCCCCTGCAGGAGAAGTTGCGCTGCAAAGATTGGTGTGCGGAAGAACTGGCCCTGAGACGAGTTCTTTTGTATGCCGCCTTGCAGAAAGGAAGTTGTAGCACGCAGCCTGTACCTTCAAGACCGCACTGCATGACGGATAAGGACTTCATCGGCCTAGACAAACATGGCCGCCCGATCCTGGTAGAGAGGGTGGGGGCTTGGAACGTTCAAGCCGTGCTCGATGCAACCGAAGACCTGGAGAAGTTCAGCATCTTGCATGCCATGGCCGATGAGACGTTGCTGGAGATGGAAAGGCCCAGCCTGAGCAAGGACTCCAGGGGGTTTGTTCTGATCATTGACATGGACGGGTGCCTTGGTTTGCAGAGGTGACCTAGGGGGATCCTACAGCCCCCAAACCATCATGTTTTGTAGAGACTTGTTAGGCGATTCAGCCAAAACAGAAGCCTTCAGAGAGGCTCAGTGCCTGGCACTTTCACCCACGCTTGATCTCGGCCTTTGCTGCGGTCAGCCAGCTACCCGTGGCAAAGATGGCCCAGTTTAGGTAGCAGGATGACGTGCAGTCGTAGTAGCTGCGTTTGTAGGATAGGACTTGGATGTACAGGAAGCTGGTTTTGAGGACGTAACAGGCACGCAGTTGCAGGAATAGCTGCGACAGTGGTAGTGGTTTTTGTGGTGGCTTTGGGAGCAGTGGTAGGAGTGTTCTGAGTCATTGCAGTGTGGCAGTGTTGGTGGTGCATGTAGGCGCTTTATCTCGCATCGCTCGTTTTGTTTTCGCATCGATCGGCGTCCACATTGGGGAACTGTGTTCCCCAGAGTGTAACAGCGTCTACATGCTCTTTTGCATGTTTCAGCCCAAAACCCGACACATCTATCTGCGTCCGCATTGGGGAACGGTGTTCCAGAGTAATTACTGTCCTGATGTGCCGAAGTCGGCCTCGTGCAGGCCAGGCTGCTACATGTCTTCGGGAGTTGCAAGTTAAGTAACGGATGATTGCTGGGGGTGGTTTTGGTCACCTTGATCACCACCGCGACAACTCGACCAACCCCCCAGCAGTTTAAGTTTAGTCGTTGAGGTGGTGGTGGTGGTGGTGGTGGTAGTCTTCGTCTTCGTCGTCTTTGTATATGTGTCGCGAAAGCAACAGCAGTAAAAGCATCAGCAGGAGCAGCAGTCTTGCAGTAGTGGTGGCAACGATGGCAGAAGGAGCAGCAGCAGCAGCAGCCCATGAGCTGCACAGGAAAATCTGCTACGATCTTGCAGCTAAGGATTGATGAGGCACACTATCCAGACACAGTGGCTCATGTGTTCGTGGTCAATGCACCATGGCTCTTCCAGGCATTGTCGCCTGGCAGAAAAAGATGTGGCCCGAGGCCTTTGGGAGTAATTTTCGGAGGATGCAGAGCACACACCACCTGCCCTCTCTCCTTCCCATCCGCTTCCGCCCCTGCCTTCCTCTTCGTTGATGCACTCAGAACCGGTCCTTTGTGGGGGTTTTGTGCTGGGGGGGGGGGCGGGGGGCGTGACTTCGATTGTACAATAAGGCACTCGGAAAGTCGGTGTGCGGGCACCAGGTTGTCTGTACAACTGCCCCGCTGTTGTGAGCCAATGCCTTGTGGGATTGATGCATATCTTGCCCTGCAGTGTGGCTAGTCTTCTTGACCCTTGTAAACCTTGAAGTCGAAACCCTCAGATAGACAGTTTTCCGGCGTTGGCTCGTTGAGTGCTACTTCACGACTAGCGAATGAGAAACGACGAATCGGCAACTGCGAATCAGAAACCCGCCTTGGCCGCCTTGGCTGTGCAAAACTGAGCTTTCAGCTCCTGGATGTTCATCTTTCAGTCTAGTGGGCCGAAGCACACGCCCAGACCGGACTTCAGAATCTTCCCAAGGTTCGCCGTGATCCGCCCGTTCCTGCCACCAGACGGCATTTGAGTGCCCAGAGTGCCCACGGAATCCACAGAGCCCAGCGGGGCCCAGCCCTGCACAAGTCATGTCAAGGAACGAAGACACGCTCACAAAGATCCATTTCAGCTCCGGGGCTACTTGGCTGTACCTATTTTGGCTCAGCCACAGCTGCAGAGCCAGAATGCCAAAGCCACATGCTGTGCTGCACTGTGTTTGCAAGTGTTTGCGCGTGTTTGTGTTCTTTGAGCTTTCGAAGCTCTCCTCAGGAATTGTGTTGTTATCTGTGTAGTGTAGGTATTAAGTGACATAAGCCCTTAGGAGTTGGAGTTATATAGGTTTTTATGATGGTTCTGAGGGGAGAGGTCTCTTTGCGCACCAAATCTCTAGGAAACCCTAAACCCTAAACCCTGGAGCATGCTTCGCCACGAGGTTCCGGATGATATGTTGTCGCTCCTGGGGGCGGACCGGTGGTAGGCTTTTAGGTTGGGATGTTCCCCGTATACTAACAGTCCTTGGGTTTAGGGTTTAGGGTTTAGGGTTTAGGGGTTATTATGGGGGGGTACGAGGAACCCCATTCTGCGGGTTCGCACATCTTAGAGGGTACGGGTGCCCTGGCACTAAACCCTCAACCCTCAACCCTCAACCCTCAACCCTCAACCCTCAACCCTCAACCCTCAACCCTCAACCCTCAACCCTCAACCCTCAACCCTCAACCCTCCACCCTCCACCCTCAACCCTCAACCCCTAACCCTCAACCCTAAACCCTAAACCCTAAACCCTAAACCCTAAACCCTAAACCCTAAACCCTAAATTGCGGTGTGAGGACCATCTGCCTGTGGAGCTTGGCGGGTCTTGTGCCTTGCCACGCCTCAAGACTTGGTTCCTCTCACGACAAAGGGGTTTAGGGGTTTCGGGGTCTGGGGGTTTAGGGTTGAGTCACAGCAGACCAGATGCAAAAGGGGTTTAGGGTATAGGGTTTAGGGTTACCGTAGCTTGGTTGTAGGTTGAGGCAACTATTTTCTCGCGCTTTGCTGCAGGTGCAAAGGTTTTCCCATACGCGCTGGATGCTTCACCATCTAGAGTGCCCTGAGCAGCCGTTCTAGACAGGGAAATTTAAGTTAGCTCAAGGGCACAGACTTGCCAGCAGCTTGAAAAACGGCCGCGATTTTCAAGGCAAGGCACAGCAGCTTGATGCACCCGCGGTTTGCCACTGGATACTGGCCAGGATGGACATGATGAATGCCATTGGCCTAGCTCGACGAAGCTCTGGGGTTTCGGGTTTAGGGTTTAGGGTTCAGGGTTTAGGGTTCAGGGTTTAGGGTTAAGGGTTTAGGGTTTAGGGTTAGGGTTGCACAGTCGTTTGGCGCATATGGCAGATCTGCACGAGCGCAACCAAACAGGCTGGCGGTATGTCCTACGCCAATCCTGGCATGCAGGCCTTGCATTTCAAGTCTTGACGTGTGGGATTCGCATCTTTGATCTTGCGAGGCCAACCGAAACCCCATGGATGCCATGCGCAGCCGGGGGACCCGTCAGAACTTGCAACATCCTGTGTGCTGCTGCACTCAACGCCCCCCGAGGTGCCAACAAGTTGCCCATGGGTGGGCCAAACCAGCGCTTGCCCCATTCCCCCAAAGGGTTCTCAAACCTCGACTTCCTGATGGGCTTGACATGTCGCAAGCGCACCATGGCAGCCATAGCATAGTGGCCGTGCGAGGCAGATGCAGCCGCAGCTGGGCATGCAGGTCGAAGTGCTGTCGTCCTTGGCTGTGGAGTGTTGGGTCATTGCCGATGGGCCAGGCTGCACGCCCAGGGGGCCCAGGCAGCGCGCTTGCAGAGAAGTCTCGTGGTTTTAGCTGGTTCACAATGGTCCACACATTGCCACGTGCCACTTTCAGGACCGGGAATGCCGGGTCCTCAGACGCCGATATGAATCCAGGCGGAATCATGTCACCGTAAGCCGAGGAATCAGGCAATGCAGGAGGAGCAGATCAGACAACAGCAGTAATCATCTCAGCGGAAGCAAGTATAGCTGACGCTGCATTGGTCTGAGTGACGTGTCTTGCCTGCCTGCAAGTCAGGCTGGCCGCGCAGCAGCAGCAGCAACAGCAGCAGCAACAGCAGCAGCAGCGTGAGCGAGAGCAAATGGAAATGCAACGACGTGAGCTTATGCAAAAACAGCTTCAGCAGCAGCGGGAACAAGAGCGCCAGGAGCAGCAGTCGAGGGAGCTGCAGTTCCAGAGGGAGCAGCAGCAAAAAATGCAAAAGCAGGTGCCCGCCCTACTTCTCGTTCGTGGAGAATGTCATTTCGTTGCGATGTTGGCGTTTGCCTGCCTGTCCCAACCCAGGACAACGAACACGTTTAGGCCATTGTAGGGCTGGTGTCCGGACCAGTTTGTCGCATAGGGCTTGACTCTTGCGCTGTACATGAGCCTTCGCTACACTGCACTCCGTGCGTGGTAGGTGCACGCCGCTTGTTAGTACGTCCACCGGGCCCTTTCACGAAATGCGCGTAGCAGTTGAACAAGGGGAAGTGCAACAAACGAGTGGGCTGGAGCTCGTGGCATCGTGACTTTGTGCAAGTGCACCTTCGTGCTGTTGCGTTCCAGAGAGGGACCAAAGGGGGCACGCAAATGCCCTGCTGCAGATGTTGGAAAGGGTTCTCCACAGCGCCAGCGTGATGGTTCACAGCAGGTGCAGACGGCGAATGTAGCTGGCAAAAGCAGCAGAGGGAGGAGACATTTTGGGGAGTCCTAAGCATGCCAGGGCTCGCGGGGTTAACCTGGTGCTGTCTTTTTTGACGCTTCCTTTCTTTTGTACTTTGCTCGGGTGCCTTGTGAAGTCCTGGCTGTAGCAGTTTAGCGCTGTGCAGTCTCTTGATTTGGTTTGGAACCTCTGAAGGCGCAGCAAGCGCAGGCGCAGGCGCAAGCGCAGGCGCAGGCGCAAGCCAAAGCGCAGGCCGCCCAAGCGCAGGCGGCGCAAGCCCAAGCACAGCAAGCACAGATGGAGACTGGGCCGCCGCTCTGGGCTCAGTTTCTGCGGAGTCAGGCAGATGCCAATAAGTGCGCCCATTGACAGCTGACAGCCGAGGGCATCGAAGCAATCTCTACCTCCCTCTGTGCTGGGCGCCCAGACTGTACGCATCACTATGGGGCAGCGGGTTGGAGCTTGTGGTGGATGTTTGCAGATGTGGTAGTGACAAGAAGGAGCATATGATTGAGAGTCATGGACCCATTCTTGCGCTCGGCAGGACCTCAAAGCCTGAGGGACGCAGGGGTCTCGGAGGGCGGACGACGACGACTGCTTCTGCTGCTGCTGCTGCTGCTACTAACGATTACAGCTGCCGCTTCCACTTGTACTGCCAGCATTTTGCTGTTGGAGCCAAAGCATGATAGTATGATCGCGGAGTCAGAATGACAGAATGATTCTCGCGCGCTTCTCTCCCTTCACTTCACGGAGGCCCCGGCCAGGTTTGGGTGGTCTTGCCTTGCGCTTGGACACAGCTTGGGGGAGAATCGCTTGTTTTGCTGGATCTGGCACTGGTGCCGTGAGCTGCTGTGCAGGAAGAGCGCCCACTTCACCGATGTCATCGTGCCCGGATCTGACATTGCGGAGCAGTTTCCGCTTCTATTTACCACCACCTTGATCCTTGTGATGGTTTCTCTCAGGATTCGTGTTCTTATGACGCTGATTCTTGCTTCGCGAGCTTGAGGCGTGCCACACAAGAGGTAACCAGCCCGGAGTTGCGCCGGGTGCTGCCGGGCGAGGCGGGCCTGGACGAGAGCTCTGGGCGACAGCTACCTGCACCTTCAGGGTTTTAGTGACTTGGTCACATGTGTCTTCGTTCAGGGTTTTTAGGGAGGTATGAAAAAATGGATCCCTCTCTCGCGTATAAAGAAGTATATATATATATATATATGCACATCTAGATAGAGGTCATTCTCTTTCTCCCTCTCTCTCTCTCTACTTTCTCTACATATATGTATATATATACACATGTTCCGAAAGTGTGCATGTTCTGCTTTTTATAGATGTACATAGATACACATACATCTTTATGTCTTCAATGAAAAAATATCGACTCGGCCGGGGCTTGCTTTTGGCAGAAGCAGTCAGAAGAAGCCCTTCTGGTCCTTCCTGGCCCAGCTGATCAGTAAAGTTGTAGGAGTGGGGTGGGTAGGCGCTGGCAGAGGGAGTGGGGGGAGGTACAAGTCGACCGAGGACCAATTCTGCCCGGATGAGCTCGGCCAGGTGGTGGGCATTGGCGCGGGTGGGTGCGGGGAAGTGGGGAAGTGGGTGGGGGTTCAGAACGTGGACTTGAGAATGGGATTGGCGTGGCGCCGAGTGCCGTGTGGGGTGCAGGGGGATTTGGATGGGGGTGAAAGGGCCAACTGATCTAAAAAGGGAGCAACCTCCACCACGGCCTGAGGCCTCGATGGACATGACGTGGGTTAATATGGGTGGTTGTCAAAAATTGCGATCCCTTTTTGGGGGTAACTTAAATATGAGGTGCCGAATTGTAATAGGGATCCAAAAAGGGACCATCATTTTGACAACCGCCCATATGATATGCAATGAAATGCAGCATAACACAATACTGTGGGGTATGGGCAGCGTGGCTTGGCACGAGTCGATGAGCTTCATGCGGGCCTACATCCCAAAGTCCTCAGTTGTTTCCAGATCTCTTGTCAGGTTCTCACACAGCGCGATGTGACCGAGACGTTGCCGAATCTTCTTGTGAGGATGCCGGTCCCTTTCCCAGATTCGACAGTTCCACAGGGTCCCTCCAGCCATGAATGTAACGTACCGGCTGTGCTCAAAAAAGGAAACCAGAATCTCGAGAGAGCCCCCGGAATGCAGAGAGCCCACTACGAGAGGTTGGGCGCATTGAGCATTGAGGTCGAGCCAGATGGTTGGGTCACTGTCCATGCCTGCGGCCTCAGGTTTCATTGCTCAGGTTAGTATATTTATAGTATATATATATATATATATATATATATATTCCAAATGTAGATTATATATATATATATACATACTGACTGTCACATCGTCAAACGAGGCACGCCACATCAATGGCCCGACCTTCTTGTCAGAAGCGCAGAATGACGGGTGCGGAGCTCACTCTCATCTGATGCTTAATTGCGGCCTTGAAGATCCGGCCTTGCAGCTGCATGTGGCGTCAGGCCTCCAACCAGAGGTGCTGAAGTTTTTCACGTTGTCTGCTGTTTTCCGGGCTGTTGGCCCCTTTGCGACACTCCAAAACTCCTTGCAAGGCGGTCCCGGCAGAGGCATGGTACGTGCATTTGCCAGGGCACGTGCTTTTTGAGTTTTGAACTTGTGTTGAAGCAAGCAGGCAGACTGTTAAACCTTTCTACCAGCCTGGGAGGTGCCATGCGAGAGGGTGCCGTGAGAGAGGGTGCCAACCAGCGACAGCCCCACATGATCTCTCACACGTCCTCGATGACTTGGGGTTGCTTGCATCGAGGACGGTGCCGCCACCTCCTCCACCATTCCGGGACAAGGCACGCACCCTTGGCGACTGAGTTTGTGCACCTAGTCGTTGACATGGGGTTTGGATGCAGGTGCCGGATTACCGCCCCATGCTCAGCCATCACGCAACCAGAGCGCTGGCAAAGACCTGTAAAGCATCGCCCAAGATTCCTGTGCTAAGTCCGGCACTCTTACCAGAAAGAGGACGGTGCTTGTTAGGGTTTAGGGTTTAGGGTTTAGGGTTTAGGGTTTAGGGTTTAGGGTTTAGGGTTTAGGGTTTAGGGTTTAGGGTTTAGGGTTTAGCCATGAGGCTGTTGTTTGAAGATGGGAACGCGCCCTCAATCTGCAGGACTTGCTGCGCTACAGGAGCCTGGAGCAGGAGGCCCTCCTGAGCTCCGAGTTGATGAGGGTTTAGGGTTTGGGGTTTAGGGTTTAGGGTTTAGGGTTTAGGGCGAGTGGCTCTCCCAATGCAGGTTCCGGATGAGATCCGGGGCTTCCGCGCGATAGTGGTGCCCAACCTGGGCAGCAAGGCACGGTGCCCTCAGGGCACCAGCATTCGGTCGTGACTTCTTCTTCTGCTCAGTTGTGAGGACTTCCCCGAGAGCCTTCTAGAACTTCGTGGCATCACTGTTAGCAAAAACCTTATCCTTTGGAACTTCTCCTTCCTTTGGACTTGAAAAAGAAACCTTTCTTTCCTCTTTACAGTCGAACAAACCTGCAAGTTTTAGAAGCAATCCCTCTAATCCCTTCTTTTCTTGAAGCATTCTTTCCTTCCATGCTCTATTGTCACCGTACAAACCTGTGTTGCCTGGACGTCAAGACCTTCTTTAAACCAGAGCTAATCGATGTTGTCCTATTCGCAGGGAGGACAACGCGGTTTGTTATACAGAGGTTTCCGATAAAATCCACAGAGGCCCGCGCCAAAGAGTGCACATACCACAGACAAAGCAGATATCTGCAAGGAGAAGCACTGAAGTACTTCAGCTAAAGCTCCAAGAGAAGCAGCACAACCTTGACCACAAACCGCCATTGAGAAAGGCCGGCCGTGAACGAAAGGCTCGTGACCGTGAGAGCCGGGCGCGGAGCCCAGCACATCTTTCTCGAGCAAAGCGCCTTGCGTGCAGTCCTTACTTTGTCCTGCCTTGCATAGGGGTAGTTCCCAAAATAGGGGGTACCTTTTTTATACCCCGAATTGTATAGAATCCCCGTATAAGGGAGCCCCCAAAAAAGGTACCCCTATTTTCAGAAACCCCTATGTCCCTGAAAGCCTTGCCAAGGAACAACACGAGGACCTCTTATTCATTGTGGGCGGCTGCTGTGGCCGACAAGTTTAGGGTTTAGGGTTTAGGGTTTAGGGTTTAGGGTGACAATGGACCTAGAGGGGAAGTTGAACATCTGTGACCTGGCAGGACGATGATGGCGAAGGCCACCACTTCGCGAAGTTACTTTCTGGGTTTTGGAGTACTATACTCGTACTATACGAGTACTCTACTCTCTAATCCTCTTTTTGGGGTTCAGGGTTCCTCTTGTAGCTACTTGCCCCTAGAAAGTCTTATACTCCTTTTCCAGTCTGCTCGGAGGCCGTCCGGGCCGAGCTCCAGCGGCTCCGCCTGCGCGAGAGCGCGAGCAGCGCGAGCCGCGCGAGCCGCGCGAGCCGCGCGAGGCAGAAACCCTGAACCAAAAAACCCTCAGTTGCATCATAAACCTGACGATGTGTGTGTGTGTGTGTGTGTGTTCCTTGCAGTGCGATGTTAAAGTCACCTAGGCGGGTGGCAAGCAACAAAAACAAGCCCTCAACCCTAAGCGCCTAAGCGCGATGCGGAGGTCCCCAGTGCGCCTGCTCGAGCACCAACAAAGGCCCGGACCCGCACCAGCGCTTGTGGTTGATGTTCATGGGGATGCTCCCCCTTTAGCTAACAGTCCTGAATGGGGATTCTAGTAGCAGGTACTACAACCCCGATTAAGGACTGTTAGCATAAGGCGGAACATCTCAATACATCGCTGTTCGTGGCTGTTCCTGGCTGTTCCTGCCCTGCACATCCCAGTTGTTCAAGAAGGTCTTAGGGCAGAGATGCATCACGGAGCAGAACTCGACCGTTTTAGCGGGCAATCCTTCTTGCACGGCTCATCATGGCTGAGCTACGCGCGTAGAACCTTTGTAAGGAGCTGGACGGATTTAAGGCCTGAGGGCACTCGAAGCCTGCTGTGAGAGTCGGAGCCCAAACCTTTGTAAACCCTCCAAAGGCCGTAAGCCCTAAGCAATAGCTGGTTCACAGCGCACGCGCGCTTAGTTGCTCAGGTACAGAGACAGCGCCGAGTAAAGAATAACGAGCAATTCAGAATGATTCCTGGGCTGCTGTAGCGTGGCGATGGACTGCAGCTGCAAATCCAATGCTGTTGGTTTCCGCAGAGAATCGGGGTTGCTGTTTCAGGAAAACTCTGAAGAACCCACAGCCCATTTGTATAGGCCCCTTTTAGTGTTCTTAGGAGACCTACAAAAACTAAGCGAACAAGGTTTTGGGTTCTTAAGCGGAAGCTTTGTTGCCAGAATGCTACAGTACGGTAGCTGAGGTAAAACATCTGGGGGTCTACGGCGTCTACGGAAACAGAAAGCCCCTCATAAAAACCCCCCAAACAGTAGGACTCCCTTATAAATAATTAAGGTACTTCATTTCGGAAAACCCCCCATATGTTCTCTCTGCAGCCCAGGAATCGGGGGTGCGTTTCCCGCGCAGTCGGTGGGGGGCCTGCTGCTGAGAGCTCGACAAGTTGCTTCGTATAGTAGAGTAGGTAGTCCTTTGATCTTTGTTGGGGGTATTTGTAATAAGTGCTATTCCTTGAGTACCCAAACCCTAAACCCTAAAACCCTAAACCCTCAACCCGAAAACCCTAAACCCTAAACCCTAAATGTTCCCCCGAAGGATACCGGGACAACTAAGGCTCTGCAGCTATCAACCTGCCAGCTGGCGAGCTGGCAACCTGGCTGGTGAGATATCTTTCCACTCGTCGCCTGATTCATGGGTTTCCTTACTACCCCGCCTCTACACTAGTTACTTAAAGAGCCTTAACTAGGCTTAAGTATCCCTAAGTAGCCTTGATTTTGGGGGCAACCTAGGGGGGTAGCATAGAGGGGGGTTTGCTTTTTTGCTCCTCGCTTTGCCCTGCGTGAAATCTGCACGTTTATCCTTGGCACGCAGGTCAGGGACAACTTTCTGCTCGAGGCAGGGCGAGTAAGCATACGCAGAATCAGAATAAGAGTTTTCTCTCTTGAAGGGCTCTGAACTGAGACTTCGTATGTAGCTCGCACGCGCTTTCAACTTTTTTTCCCACGACTTCAGTTTGTCCGCGACTCGAGCCAGGCAGGGGCCAAGACAACCCGCCAGGTTGTCCTACAAGCAGGTGAGTACATCAGCTGGGTGTGTACTGTCCAAGATGGCTACACTGTGGACTTTGTCGTCAAGCTTTCGTCCAGGAGGCCGCAGGAGGTGCGCTGCGTTGACCGACCCCTTCGACTGGTTGGGGTCGACAAATGCCGAATGGTCCAAGACCGCGAGCGCGGCGCTGTCTTTCAAGGCTACCTGGACCTGGTGGGCGATCATGCTGAGTGTGTGAAGCAAGATGACAGTGGACCAGTTGCGACGTTACACTTCGAAGTCGACAATGGTTTCAGTTTCTTCACCGCCAAGGAGGTAATGCTTCAAGTCTCAAAGCAGAGGGTGCGAGATTCCGTGACCTCTGCGCCGCCTCCAGAAGTCGCACCAACAGACGCCCGTGCAAAGAAGGAAAAGCCCTTCGATCCATCCTCATCTTCGGCCCCAACGATAGCCTCGGTTCCGGTCGTGGCCCAAAGTCGGCCTTCGTCTCTTCTGGCGCAACGCTCGGGAGATCTTCGCTTCGGCCGCTTGCAGGCGCTGTTGAGGGATGCCATCCGCCTGTGCCCTGCGGAGGCTGAGGCGGCACAAGAACACCTCCTGGCAGCTCAGGCAAGGCTCCAGGAATACGCACAGCAAGTAGCGGACGACGACCTGGGCCCCTTGAGCTAAAAAAGACCAGAACACTCAGGGGGCGGAGGGGGGGGGGGGGTGGGTTGGCATGCGAGACAGTGAGACAGTCGGCTTCTACAGCACCCGATTTTCTGGCCAGGAGCCGGAGGACAAGAAAACTGGGGAGGACATCCGCTTGTTGATGGGCAGAGTCGGTTCGATAGTGATCCCTGGCCAGGAGCGCAAGGAGAACTGCCCCACGCAATAGAGCCTCCAATGGAGGCTTGGACCCGTTTTCTCGCAAGAACCCTAAACCCTAACGCCTAAACTTTAAACCCTAACCCCTAAACTTTAAACCCTAAACCCTAAACCCTAAACCCTAAACCCTAAACCCTAAACCCTAAACCCTAAACCCTAAACCCTAAACCCTAAACCCTAAACCCTAAACCCTAAACCCCTTGGAGCATGGCTAGACGGGTGGCAAAAGAACCTTAAACCCTAAGCCCTAAACCCTAAACCCTCTCATAGTATATTTCAACCCTAATGCCCTTCGTCGGCATATTGTTTTTCTTTCCCCCTGGTGGGCCCTAAACCCTGACGCCCTTCGTCGGCATATTGTCGGCATATTGTTTTTTTCCCCCCTGGTGGGCCCTAAACCCTGACGCCCTTCGTCGGCATATTGTTTTGTTTTTTTGTTTTTTTCCTTTCCCCTGGTGGGCCCTAAACCCTGACGCCCTTCGTCGGCATATTTTTTTTTTCTTTCTGGTGGGGCGCCCTTCCTCGGCAAACTGTTTTTCCTCCTGGTGGCCCGCCCCCACCCACCACCCCACCACCCCCCCAACCCTCCCTATTCCCATCCATCAGGTGAGGAGGTTTGAGAGTTAGATTTCGGGTTTTGGGTTAACTGGACCTTGAGCTTTAAGCCTACTGGGAATGTATTGAGTGAACTTTGTATTTTCTCAATGTTATGGGTTTCTTGGGTGCGTGGGGTTTTATTCCAACGCTTGACAAGCTGCTTGACTAGTAAATGCTCGGACTTGAGATGCTGAACCCTAAACCCTAAACCCTAAACCCTAAACCCTAAACCCTAAACCCTAAACCCTAAACCCTAAACCCCCCCGAAGGCCCCCCCCCCCCCCCACCTCTTGGCTCAGGTCTCGGCTCCCGGATCCAGGAGGAGGCGCCTCCTGGAGCCCAGCGCCCACTAATTTCAACTCAGGGCTGGGAGCCCCGGCCCCCCCCCCCCACCCTTTGCGCTTTTCCAAGGTGATGTAGGTTTAGGGTTTAGGGTTTAGGGTTTAGGGTTTAGGGTTTAGGGTTTAGGGTTTAGGGTTTAGGGTTTAGGGTCAGGGTTTAGGGAACTGAAGGCCACGCCACAGAATTACCGGTATCGGTTCTTGCTTCCATCGCTGCGTTTGGTATAGAGTAGTGGGCCTCGCAGCCCGACTCATATGTATAGTTTTACGTGCAGCAATCAATGCTTCATGCCGCTCCGAGTTGTGAGAGTTGTGATTTTCGTTTAGGTTTAGGGTTGAGAGTTTAGGCAGACACGAGGGTCAAGTTAAACTCGGAGAGGCTATACTTGTCGTCCAAAAAAAACTTCAAAAAACAAACAAAGAGGCAGCCGCATGCCCAATTTGAGCAAAGCTCGCTTTCAGTGACCTTAAGCGTCTTTCGGATCATGGCCATGTATAGCACTGCCATTTCTCAAGCACCATTCCGGCTGGAGTGCATGAACCGTGCCACAAGCAGGGACAGCGATAGATCTTGCATTGTGATGCAGCTGGTTCTTGGCGGTGTTATCTATGCCTGTAGATCCTGGTATCTGTCTGGTTCCCTCAGAGCAGTTGCTCTGTGCCTGGAAGCTGGCAGCCAAGGAGTCATTGTCGCAGGGTGACATTTCTGCGGGCCAATGTAACAGATCAGAAGTCGGATGCATTCCAGTACTTCCGCTGCTTCACGCCCAGCTGCCAAAAGCAAGATGCCACCCAGCACAGCTGCGACGCCCCATTGAAGAGGTTGTCAGGTCCACATTAGTTTTTGCAATCACACGTTTCATGTGAACCTCGTCACACACCTCCTGGGCACACGGGATGTAGCATGTCATCAACTTTGACATTCAGTCATACCACAGCAGAGAGTCATGTATTTTCCACGGCCCAGGGCGGGGATCGTGCCATTCTTTCTTTGGCCTTGGAATGGGACAGCCATGATGCGAGACAAAAGCAACCTCAGGAGCTTGATGTTTAGGGTTTAGGGTTTAGGGTTTAGGGTTTTGGCCACATTTGTTTTCCAATCGGCCTTGCTTTTCCGATGCACATGTTCAAGTCTGCAGAGATCTGCCTGCACTCGCCATTTCTCGCGTGCTGGGTTCGACGCAGCGAGAAGTTAGATAGAGTTTCACACTGGGTCTTGAACATCTGCCAAGCAGATGCCAGGACCATAGACTGTAGGCTCAACAAACACAAGTTGGTACGCCCAGGCAATCCATAGCGCCTTGCTCACACATGCGCAACTTCTTGGTGGAGGAACCATGTTGGCACGAAACAAATCCAAGCCTTTCGATGTGGTTGGTGAACATGCGGTCTGGCCAGCTCATGGAAAACTGGTGCCTTGCCAGCTTCCCGCCAGTTCTGAGCAAGGCAGGCATGTCACACATGTGCCTTCTGATGGCCTTTGTCAACTGACTGTTAGGGCGCCTGAGCTGGGGCATCCCACAGCTTGAGATGAAGAAGGTGGCCGCTTTTCTCGCGCTGTTTTGTGGGCATCTCGCTCCCCCGCATCAAGGCCTCCATCTCCATCCAGGTTGAGGGGGCATGGAGCCTACCTGTCCGCCGAAGTGAGCCGATCACCCGATGCAGTTTAAGGCGCCAGTGTCAGCTCGCCGGAGGACTTTCAGGCCACGTCTGCTTTCCATCACTCCTGCTCACCCTCATCTTCAGCTTGTAAGAACAAGTGTGGGACGGGCAGGTGTGGGCTGTCTCGGGGCATTCTTGGAGGTTGGGAGGGGGGGTGTAAGCCTATGAGGCAAAGTGGCCCGGGACACTCGGCTGCAACTTGGGGAAATCCATAGTCCACACAAGCCAAGGCGAACGTGCCAGGAGTGTGCACAGCCGCAGAGTTGATCCTAAACCCTAAACCCTAAACCCTAAACCCGAAACCCGAAACCCGAAACCCTAAACCCTAAACCCTAAACCCTAAACCCTAAACCCTAAACCCTAAACCCTAAACCCTAAACCCGAGAGTGTGGGAGAAAAAACCCTAAATCCTAAACCCTAAACCCTTAAACCTAAACCCTAAACCCTAAACCCTAAACCCCAAGCCCTAAACCCTAAACCCTTAACCCGGTTGCTCCAAGGCACAAAGACTGCTGGGCCTTCTCGGGGGCAGGTGCCTGGGAGCACTGCTTTTGCACTCGCTAGCTGGCCCGTCACGACCTCTCGGAGTCGCAGGAGGAGAGGGATCTCATCCGAGCTCTTGCAGAGTTTGCGTGCGAGACTTAGCACGGAGTTGGACACCTCAAGCTTCGCTCTTCGCGAGATGTTGCGAGCAGGCCGCAGTCCTTGAGCTCCTTTGACGAAGCATTCAACCTCCTCGATGGCGGGATTGGGGTGGCTGCCAGGACCTTGGCTTCGTGCAATGCAGGAATGGCATCATCTTGCAACCGCAGCAGAGCCCAAGGTCAGTGCTGCCATGGCGCGGCGCGCGGTCTTGCGGCCACAATTAGCATCTCTCTGCCTTTCGTGCGCTTGTAGCAGCCCTTCCTTTTTTGCCTTCTGCCAGGCGCTTTACGGTAGCGGTGACCAGCCAGGTATGGTCGGAGCTTGGTGCCCGAGAGTCTACCAGCTCTCTTTTGAATGGTTCGTCGCTGCAGAGTCTGCATGGGCTCAGTGCTCGTGTGCTCGCCGGAGACATCCACAGACTTGCTGAGGAGTCTCGGCACGTCTTGTCGAAGCTTCCGCGGCAGCCTCAACCTGCAAAGTTCGTAACAGAACAGATCGCCATGGCATCCTGAGATGAGGAGACGTCGGGGGTTGTTCGCGAAAACGTCAGGAAAAGCCAGCAAATTGCCCCAGAAGCAGCATTCAGAAATATTCAGAGGTTTTCGGAAATTCTGAAGTGAGAAGAGAAACGCCGAGAGGTAATCAATGTCTTTGACACCGGCTGTGTCATCCAGAGCTCAGAGATATGGGATCTTCAATGGGCTCGGTTAAGATTTTGGGCTCGATGGGATCCTCGGTGTCGGGCGGAATTAGCGAGGCACGTTCGCCACGTGATACTCTGTGCTGAATAAATGGCTCGATCATGATAGCCCAGGCAGTTTTGAGGGTTATATCACCATGCGGCACACCTTGCTCTGCTACAAGCCCGATCACTGTGATGCCGTGTGCTGTGACATGGGGGATACATTAATGACGCTGTTCTGTACAAGCGCTGTAGGAAGAAGGAAGTCTCAACGGAACAGTTGAACATACCGAAACGAAACTTCAAACCTTGAAACAGCAAAAGAAAAGCCTTGAACGCCTTTTATGGATTGATTGAAGCTGGTATATCATGAAGAACTGCGCGATATAAGATTGCAAAGAGACTGAATCAAGCAGTCTGAGCAACCAAAGGTTTGAGCCAAGGAGCTCCAGCTGGCTACAACAAGTTGTCAAGATCTGGTTCTCAGCTTTCTGGTCGCAATCTCGTCAAGATCAGGTGTTTAACCGTTCTAAAGGGTGAGCGCTCCCCATCTCTCAGAAACAGTTAGGTTTCTGGAACTTGTCTTCTCAGAAATCGACGGGATCATCACGGATACTGCCGCAAGAGCGGCGGTACTGCTTTCCCTTGGCCTATTTTTCAGTGGAGTACATCAATGTCGTTGATGTCGGCTGGATCATCCAGTGCTCAGAGATGGGAGATCTTTAACGGATTTTGGGCTCGATGCTGGTCGATTTGGTCACTAAGTGTTGGAATACGCCTACGAAGACCTAAACCAAGGCAGGAGGAAGATCCTATATAGGAAGATTGTGCTCAATCCAATGGGTTAAACTGAACGCAAGTTGATTGAAGCATCGTAACAAGAATGACGAAAGAGGTCGCTCACCTGCATCCGTGCCCACGCTGGCAATACTCCATGCCATAGGGCCCCAGTACTTGTGATGCTGGGTGTTGGTTCCCCAGCTGAGACTTTTTTTAAATCTTAAGTTATGTTTTTGGATGCCGGGATCCCCACACACACATGAGCACAAGTAACATGAACATGTTGACAAAGTAAAGTGGCATCACCTGATCGAGAGACCGCCCGTGTTCTGGTGAGGTCGCGCGACAACAAGGGGGGGTTCCTCGACCAAGTGGCCGCTTGGCAAATCTGTGGGTGCATGGCGCGAGGATGCATTGAGGTGACTGTCCCAGCCCCCATTTTGGGCCGCTTCTAGTGGAGATTCAGCCCCAATTGTGGCTCGGAAAAAGAGTGTGAGATACCCTAAACCTTAAACCCTAAACCCTAAACCCACTAACCCACTAACCCACTAACCCCTAACCCCTAAACCCTAAGCCCTAAGCCCTAAGCCCTAAACCCGAAACCCTAAACCCTAAACCCTCAACCCAACAAACCTCTTCGCCGGCGGTTCTCAAGGTCGACCAGCTGGTGAAGCCCAAGAAGACGACGCGGAAGGCCCCCTGTAGGGGGGAACCGGGACTTTCTGAGTTATAATGGGGTTGGGGTTTAGGGTTTAGGGTTTAGGGTTTAGGGTTTAGGGTTTAGGGTTTAGGGTTTAGGGTTTAGGGTTTAGGGTTTAGGGTTTAGGGTTTAGGGTTAGGGTTATATCCTTTGGGATGTTCACCCCTTAAACTAACAGCCCTTAATAGGGGGTATAATGGGGTTGGGGTTTAGGGTTTCGGGTTTAGGGTTTAGGATTTAGGGTTTAGGGTTTAGGGGACTATCTTGCTTCATCAGCTTGTATAAAATAGTTTCAGATGCCGTCGATCGGAGAACGCGTGCTCTTGGATGGCAGTGAAGCTGCTTACATCGAGTGGCACCGACTCCAGGCGAAGTGGCAAGCCTGCTGCAAAAGGGTTACGGGGGGTAAGGACTGTTAGTAGAAGGGGGGAACATCCCAACATTTTCCTCGAAAGTGTTCGAGGGAGGCGGCAACGAAGTGTGCAGTGACTTGAGAGGCCCCGGCCGCGGACCCGAAGTCAGGCCATCATGTTTGGGGGAATTACGTTTTGTTTTTAAGCCCAAGGGAATATTCAGACTACTATTCTGTTTCAGGTTCTGAGGGAAGTATAGGTTAAGGTTGTCGGGTTGAGGGGGATGCTCCTAAGATTCTCCCAACGCTGGGTGTGGTGGGGACGACGTTGGGTCTCTCCGAAACGCAGATGAAGTCTAAACCCTAAACTTTAAAATCCGAGACCTATTATGGAGCCACGCCAAGACCTGCCCATGCCTAGCCCCAAAGCCCCGCAACAACGACAGCCCGAAAACCCTACAAACCAGGGTGTAGGGTTTAGGGCTTAGGGTTTAAAACCTAAAGCAGAAAACCCGGTGGTCGGTGTCGTCATGCCTGCACAGTGACCTCACATCAGTACTGCGTGTCGTTTCTCTCTTCTTCCGTCTTCCATTCTTTCTCTCTCTCTCTCTCTCTCTCTCTCTCTCTCTCTCTCGCTCGCCACCCTCGGCGGACGCATTGCATCCCTGCAGTGGGAGTAAGTACACCTTAACCCTAAACCCTAAACCCTAAAGCCTAAACCCCTAACCCCTAACCCCTAACCCCTAAACCCTAAACCCTAAACCCTACCACTAACCCCTAACCCCTAAACCCTAAACCCTGAAGTACAGTTACAAGTGGTTCATAAGTACCATGAACCTCCAAGCAGCAGGCCCCAGATGGCGCGGTGGGAGCTGGTCGAGGCTGCGCAGCTTTTACCCAGCCTCTGGGTTTAGGGTTTAGGGTTTAGGGTGCAGGGTTTAGGGTATGCCCCCAGCTGGTTTCAGGAGTCTGGGTTCCAAAGAAAAGGTGCAGGGTTTAGGTAGTCGAACAGAGAATCCGGCAAAGTTAGGTTTGACCAGGCGCGCTGGGACAAGCCTTTTCAAAAAACCCTAAATCCCAAAACCGAACCCTTGTAAACCCAAAACCCTAAACCCTAAACCCTAAACCTAAAGCCTAAACGTGGAATGTAAGTGGTGCCTGCGGTTCTGGCATTGCTACTCGAGCTCGAAGATGTCAATTGAACCCGGAGACCCCAAACTGGGGTAGTCGGGTGGCAAGAAACCTCTAAACCCTAAACCCTAAACCCTAAACCCTAAACCCTAAACCCTAAACCCTAAACCCTAAACCCTGAAACCCTCTTGGGATGGCTTGCAGGCGGCCCTCGAACGAGGAGGGGACGAAAAGGACCCTTGGGAGAGCGCGGTATGTTATGTTGTATATTCATTTATTTATTTACTTGTTTATTTGTTTATTTATTTATTTATTTTTTAATATGTATATAATGTCTATCAAGGATGGAGAAGCCGGAGCTTGATGAGGCACAGTTGCGCGAGTGGGCAGGGGCCGCAGTCACAGATGTCACCGATCGCGCGGGTGACGCGTGCCGTTGTCACCAAGGCGAAGGCTTGGCTTCAGCATTTGGCCTAGCAGATCCCAACAGCTCCGGGTTTGCTGACCGGTTTTCCCGGAATCTACTATAGGGGTCGGAAGAATTTCTAATGGTATCTCCTTAGGGTCCGTATAAATATACTACAATCACCCCCCCCCCAAAACCCTAGGCTAAGGCTCCAGGCGACGTGCTCGGCCCTCCACTGCGTCCATGCGCACTGTTTGGTGGGTTCCGGGGTTTGTGCTTATCTTTCATGCCTTCCGTTGCATCACTTTCGCACCACTTTGCATTCCTGTGGGAAGCCCAGAATAGTCTCCCGGCCCCGAAGTTACATGCAGTGCAGCTCACTCGTGCCTTCGAATCGCAATTTTCCAAACCTCTTGCTACCTCCCGTTCATCCCCCCATCCCCGAACTCCGAGCAGTGTGGCAAGTACTATTGAGTGTTGGAAGTGAGCCTGGGATAGCCTGGGCCTAGTTGCGCACCTTTCGCCGCGGAGCGTCGCGCGTTCTGGGTCCAGATCGCGCAGCGCGGGCTTGACTGCGCGATTCGAGGTGGTTATTTTTACCACGCAAAATGCGTGGACTCGGTTTGTTTTAAGCTATCGTCCAACATCCAAATCGTACCCAAAACTAGAATGCAAGAGTATCAAGGCCAGGGCAACACAGCGTCACTCCTTTCGCCTCCGAAAAAGGGTAACCTTCTGACTTTGTCCCATGCGCTTCTCGCGCTTCGCCTCGTGCCCTACCAGGATCTGCACTGCGGAGAGCTCGAGGGTTTTGAGATCGCGCTCCTGCCCCGGTCCCGTGCGCGCGCTTCCCGGAAAGCGTCCTTGCCTTTTGAGCCCTTGGATCGTGCTCCTGTGAGTGACACTTACCATCGTTGCGGTATGTTGTGGTCTTACACTGTTCAGGGTCTACGCCGGCAGAATGAGAGCGAAAGTGCTGAAAACGATCTGAGACCATGGCATCAGTTGTTTGCTTTTTATCTCCCTCTCACTCTCTTCCCTCTCCCTCCCTCTGTCACTCTCTCCCTCTCTCCCTCTCTCTCCATCCCTCCTCCTCTGCAGCATGGAAGTGAAAAGGCCCACCAGCGTCTCGGACATGCTGCAAGACTCAGTCTCAGCTTTGCCGAGTGTTTTCCCTGATTGATGGCGTTGACGCTGAAGCAGCTGGCAGGACTTCGGTCGGTTCCAGGAAAGGATCACACACCGCTTGCAGTGCTGGCATGCGGGACAGGCACTCTTGCGTTTGCAAAGCGCGTCCTGTAGTTTCCGACATGAGCGCAGGCGGGAAACGGATTCGTGCCATTGCCAGTGCTACCACCGGTGCCACCAGTACCTGCGCAAACTGCAGCGAGCAGCAGCAGGTGGCTTTTGCCTTGACCGTGTGCATTTGCCGGTCGGTGCCTGGCACGACAGGCATTTGGTGCCCAAGAGGTGGCGAAGACCGACACCTTTGCAAAAAGGCACAGCGCCCTGGCCTCAAGTTCCAGCCCGGGCAAGACGTTGGCCGTTTCTGGGAGGCAGTACCTCAGACAGCGTTCCATCGCAACTGACACACCAGCGCAGTTTCGAAGAGGAGGTCAGAGGTGTTGGACGCTGAAGAAAGCCCTAATATCGCGCTAACCTTGCCGAAGGACTCCGAGTCTGACTTACCTCTTTCACCAGTGAAGTGCCCGCCCCAAACGAGCGCAGCAGCAAATGTGTGTTGCCGAGAACTTGATGTGAGCTCCTTGTTCAGGTCGCAGAAGGACCTGTCCATGATGAGCATCAGCACAGGTTCCCTAAACCCTAAACCCGAAACCCTAAACCCTAAACCCTAAACCCTAAACCCTAAACCCTAAACCCTAAACCCCAGAACCCCTAAACCCTAAACCCCTGCTCGCTGGACCACGTGCCTGCATGGCCACATGCGATCCTTGCAGGCTTCCCTAGCTGCAGTCGAAGTTTCCATCCCCATGGCATCTTCCGCGAGGCCACAGACGGGCTTTCTACACATTTTCAAGATTGTTCATATGAACAATAGTCTAATTTTTCTTGTTGATATCAATGAATTGTTCATCTTGTCCTAATATTACTACAGTACTAATTTTTCCTAGGCCCTAAACCCTAAACCCTAAACCCTAAACCCTAAACCCTAAACCCTAAACCCTAAACCCTAAACCCTAAACCCCAGAACCCCTAAACCCTAAAACCCCTGCAAGGCCTCGATTCCGGACTGCGGGCCAGAGCAGAAGCTGCCTCTTCTCCGCTGCCCACCGTCCTTCGCCTCAGTGCGACTCTGGAGGGACGACTCGGTGTAGGGTTTAGGGTTCAGGTTTAGGGTTTAGGGATTAGGGATTAGGGTTCAGGGTTTAGGGTTTAGGGTTTCGGGTTTAGCATTTAGGATTTAGGTTTAGGGTGTTTCGCGTTGTGCCGTTCTCCCGTCGCGGTGTAGCACCTGATGTTTGCGAGACTCAGGGAGTTCCAGGAGCCTCACCGAATGCCAAACTGCCACTTGTCTGGCTTGATTATTGTACATGGGCAGCTGGTGGCAGTTTCGTTTGACTACAGCTCGTGCCAACTCTGGAGGTGCGGCACTGACATCAACACCCGAGTTCCTTTACTTGCGTGTCTGTGAACTATCTGGGCAGCTACCCTGCAGTGAGGCGTGGCTTTAAGGACCCTGTGCTAGAGTATCTCGGTATGGGGGCACTTCTTGGCCTGGGGGTGATCCGCTGCTTGAGCGAGTTGCGAATTCACATGCTCTCCCCGCAGTTGTGGAGGTAGTACCCACATGTTCCATTTTCTGTTTTCGGCTCAAAGCCTCCAGTCGTCCGTGACCCACGTCAGCTGTGACCCACCTAAGGGGGGCCTGTAAAGGAGACCCGGCAGCGGAGAGTGTTGAAGCGGCCGCCAATTATGACAGTACTTCCAACTGTACTTATCACCATATTAGGGCACTTAAAGGGGTTATAAGTACAGTCATGTTGGGTTAATAGGTACCATGAGAACCTCCAAGTAGCTAGGCTTGCGCTTGGCTGGCTCTGTAAGGATGTGTGGTTCCGTCATGGTCGACACGGCCGGCCAGCAAAGGGCTTCGAAGGAAGCCGACGTCCTTGACGCGGCCAAGTTGCAGAGCTTAGGGTTTGGCGTTGAGGGTTTAGGGTTTAGGATTTGGTGTTTAGGGTTTAGGGTTTAGGTTTAGGGTTTAGGGTTTAGGGTTTAGTGTTTAGGGTTTAGGGTTTACTCCACAAGTATCACAAGTATCCTCGCTTTGTAGGTCACGTGTGCTTGAGGCCTTTAAAGACCTGGCAGAATTTGAAGAAGAAGTTGCCAAGTGGCTGACCTGAAGACTTGGCGAGCATGTCAATGTCAACATGTGCTTGCCTTGGTAGTTTGCATCGAAACCTTTGTCCATGGACCCAGGCAAGTGCCCATTTTGTTGGAGCACATGAATGAGGCAGCTGCAGAGACGAACAGACTGGAATTGGAGCTGTCGCGAGCGCAAGACATTCACAAGAAAGCCTTGATCGAGTGGAGCCGTCTCTACAACGAGCTTCGATCGCAGTATGGTGGTGGCTTGAGTGGTGCTATCGACTACGCCAAGCCTTACTTTGATGCATTGGAGAGATGCCAGGCAGCTACGAATCATGCAGACCCTTACTTCGCATCTAGTTGAACTTTAAACTCTGTGGGTTTCCTTACGTAGTAGAAATTTTATTTCAATCTAACCTTTTTCTCCCCCTGGTTCTTGGAGAAGTAAGGACGATGTGCGAAGAAGGTACCGCGCCGCCCGCCGGCAGTTTAAGGAAGTCGCCGTGCGGCTCAGGGACTCGGGCAGCCCGTCTCCTGAGCCGACCTCCGGCTTGCAGAGGGTCTCAAAGCTTCGCCAGGAGCCTCTCTCATGATTGGGCACCATTTTTCATACATTTTTTTTAAGGGTGCTGAAACCCTAATAAGGAATAATAGTTTGAAACTTTAAAATATGATCCCAACCATGGACTAGGAGCTCAAGTCCCTACAGTCCGAGTACGAGCTTGCCATGCTGGCGCTCCAGGCCACCAAGGAAGATTTGAAGCACCAGCGATCCAAGGTGGGCGGATCCACCATCGAAGGCGCCAGGCCATGCTTTAAGGCTCTGCAGAAGGTCCAGCTACCTCTCGATGCGGCACACAAGCACGTAGCGGAGCTGAGTGAGCAAGCGTCCTTGGCCAAGGCGCGATACCGAGATTCCATGAAGGAGCTGGATCGGATCAGTGAATCCATCCATAGAGCTCGTAGCGCCTGCAGCCGTCAGGCAGGGGTAGTTTTTGAATGAGGACACCAGCCGCGCGCGACACTTGATCCCGCGGCCAATTGATGCTTGCTTGGCTGAGCAGCAAAAAGCCTGATCAGCCTTCAACCATCCGGATTTTCGAGGACTGCGCATCTGCGCATGTCTACCTTCGAGGTACTTTTGTCTAGGTGATGCCGGGCCCATTCCTCCAATGGAGGGGTGCTAGCTTAGGCACTTGTGCTGAAATTAGCCGCAGAGGACCCGAAGTGAGCCGTGAGCCGTTGCTTTGTCAAGCTGAGTGACGCGCTCGCAGCTTCACGTTCATTCCACAGTTGTTTTGCTTAGCAGAGCTGGCAAACACAAACTCTATTGTTACCCCACCATGCGAGTTACAGTCACTACTCCCGAAGGAAGGTTTTCAGGAACTCAGTCTAGCGTGTCTACCGGGAGTGTTGACTGTAGGTCGCGGCTCTACACGATGGGAGGACCTGCAAAACAAGAGCCGTTGCATGTAAGTCTGTACCAGCTGCTGCGCACTTCATCTGCGAAGCCCCAAAACCCAAAACCCAAAACCCAAAACCCTAAACCCTAAACCCTAAACCCTAAACCCTAAACCCTAAACCCCAAACCGTGTCTGGGAGCCTGAAGGCTCAAGGGCTTGTGCCAGACTTCAGGGAATGGCAGGCCACAGAGAGAACTGTAGCATGTATGGCACTCTCGACCCATGAACGTCGATGAAGTGAACCTCGTCGCCGCTTTGCTGCGTTTGGGAAACTGGGGCATTACCTCAAAAGCCTCCTTTGTCGAGTTTAGGGTTTAGGGTTTAGGGTTTCGTTTTTTTTTTTTTTTTTGGGTGGGGGGGGGTTCGGAGAAGGCCCCTGATCGGATTCGTAGGAAGCCAAAAAATCAAGGCTTGGAGGTTTCGGAAGGATCGGTGTTGTGTTGTGAAGAAACCCTAAACCCTAAACCCTAAACCCTAAACCCTAAACCCTAAACCCTAAACCCTAAACCCTAAACCCTAAACCCTAAACCCTAAACCCTAAACCCTAAACCCTAAACCCTAAACCCTAAACCCTAAACCCTAAACCCAAAATAAATTATTTTACTTCGAACATCCCCACCCTCTCTTGGTAGAGATACTCTGGGGTTGGGCACTCCCGGGACACTCTGCTCCAGGGAGACTCTGGGGCTGGGACTCTCGGGTTCGGCACTCTGGGGTTGGGCACTTCAGGGAGACTCTGGGTTTAGGCACTCAGGGACACGGAGTAGACCGGGCGAGGAGAAGAGTTCCGGGCGAGGAGAAGAGTTGAGTTTAAAATCTAACAACCCCACACCGAGGGTGGGGAAAAACAAATTCCCAAACCCTAAACCCTAAACCCAAAACCCTAGACCCTAGACCCTAAACCCTAAACTAAAAACCCTAACCCCTAACCCCTAGGGGATGGCGTGGCAGAGAGAGAGAGAGAGAGAGAACCCCTAACCCCTAAACCCGAAACCCTAAATCCTAAACCCTAAACCTTGACCCCAATGCCCCGCAAGCGGGGCCTGCGATCTCAGGTCACATGGTCTGTGAGCGGCTGTGTGGCTTGGCCTTGGCGGTTAGCTTGCATGACATCTGGGCCATCCGGAGGTTGGTGACTTCTCTTTTTTTGTTTTTCGAAGAGTAAGTAAATAATTTTTCTAAATATATATATATATATATGTATATCCTTTTGTTTGAAACTGTCAGAGTCGCCTGTGTAATGACCGCGCAGGAAGTTTCGTGAATGCTTGAAGCGGCCCGGTGCTCATAGTTAGAACTCTACGAAACCCAATCATTCCAGGGGGAATCCCTGCGAGTCGACTCCGCCCGAAGCTACAGAAAACCCTAAACCCTAAACCCTAAACCCGAAACCCGAAACCCGAAACCCCAACCCTAAACCCTAAACCCAATTTCATGGCAGGTAGGGACTGAGGGAAACTTATTAGGGACGCCTGGGAGCCTTAAGGAGGTTACATACCACCCTTGAACCCCAAACCCCAAACCCCAAACCCCAAACCCTACACCCTAAACCCTAAGCCCTAAACCCTAAACACCCAAACCCTAAACCCCAATCCCTTAAGAGCCCTAGAACCATGGGCAGAAGTGCGGTCGGTCTCAACGCAACCGCATCTGCCTGCCACGTGTGCCGTGGCCTCTCGTACGGGCTCGCCTTTGGCATGAGGTAGCAGCTGGCAAGATTGCGGAACATACATGTTTTTTCTATATCTTATATTATATAGTAATGGTATTATAGTATTAAGAATTTTTTTGTCTATAATATAATGCAGCTCCTGAAGTACATGGTGCCCTGTTGTTTGGTGATGTCCATGCCAACTCGATGTGGAGCAGGACTTGCCAAGCTTTGGCTGCCAAAACCATGGGTCGTAATTTGGGTTTAGGGTTTAGGGTTTAGAGGGTTTAGGGAGTTTAGGGTTTAGGGTTTAGGTTTTAGGGGCCATTGGGCCTCTTCGCCCACGCTAAGAAATGCACAGACATCCGAGCAAAGGCGCTTCTCGCAGTTTCTGTGTTTTTTGTTTGTTGTTTTGCGCCTGTGAAAGTCCCATGTCGCGTGCACGGCGCTAGAGAAGCCACTTTTCGCAAAACGTGGACTTTCGAGAAGGGTGGTTCTTCGGAATAATTTTCCTCGTAACCTCAAGGACACCCCACACGCCTGCACAGCAGCCCAGAGAATTTTGCAGATACCCCCACGTGCACAGAGTACCCCTCGGAGTGTCCACCGCGCAGAGTATCCCCAGAGTTCCCAGCCCCGAAGAAGCCTGCCCATCAAATCGCAAAAAGATTGCTGGAGGGGCTTCCCAATCTCTGAAGCATCGATCAGTATAAGAACATGGTTGCCAGAAGCCCATGTCAGCTTGTGCTCTGTCCACAGTATGCCGGTAGACCACCGCGACAGCTGCAGGCGGTTCTGCTCGTTGTCAGCCTGTTCTGTGTCCCGGATGCAAGATGGTCGCAGCTGCAAACGCCACAAGCTCTGCGATAAACGTGGAACCCTCACTCGCAGAAAGCGGTCGCGTGTGTCGCCCTAAACCCTAAACCCTAAACCCTAAACCCTAAACCCTAAACCCTAAACCCTAAACCCTAAACCCTAAACCCTAAACCCCTAACCCCTGAACCCTAAACCCTAAACCCTAAACCCGAATAGCAGACCACGTGACCAAGGCACGGCATGTTGCCTGCGACGTGGATGTTGTGGACCCTTCAGCCTGGGGACAGGCCGGATGTTTTGGGATGGTGCCCCCGCAGTCCTTAAAAGGGATTATAGTACGCCCTATGATTCATATCCCCATTATTCCTCCTTCTCCTAAGAGTCCTTAAAAGGGATTATAGTACGCCCTATTATTTTAATA